ACTTAATTCCTCTATAATTTGCACACTCTTGTGCATCCCCTTTATTCTTAAAAATGGGGACTAAAATACTCTTCCTCCACTCAGGCATCTTTTTAGTTTTTAAAATAATATTAAAGAGTTTAGTAAGCCAAGAAACTCCCAAATCTCCCAAATATTTTCACACTTCAATTGGGATATCATCAGCTCCTACAGACTTTCCACCCTTGGTTTTCTTTAAAGTCTCCTCAACTTCTTTTTTACTAATGCAACGGTAAAAATGAAACGTTTTATTATTATTCACGATATTAAGATCACTAAGATTGATCGTATTTTCAGAAACTTCATTAAAAGGTTTATCAAAGTACCTCACTCACCTATGTTGAATATCTTTTTCTAAGAAAAGTAATTTTTGATTTTCATCTTTAATACACTTTCCTTGAGTTAAATCTTTACTTTTATGTTCTCTTTGTTTGGCTAGTTTATACATATATTTTTCACCCTCCTTAGTATCTAATCTATTATAAAGATTATTAAAAGCAAAATTTTTAGCGTCACAGATTGTTCTTTTAGACTCCCTGCGGGTCGTTTGATATTTTTCCCAGTTCTCTAAGCTTATACATTTAAACCAATTTTTATAACATAACTTCTTATATTTTATATTTTCTTGTACATTATTATTTCATTACCAACTATTTTTATTTATAAAAACTTTTTCTTTTGATTCTCTAAGCACATCTTTTGCTACTTGTTTAATAGTATTTGTTACTTTACCCAATATTTTGAGAAATCAGATAAAATTCAACAATTTTTAAATGTACACTAAATCTCTCATCCCTCAAAATTCAACCAAATTAATTTTATAAAATTCTATGTACGAAATCGATCAATTTGATATAAAATACTATATATAAATTTTAAATGAAATAAGAGATAAAATTTTTAAGAGATTGAGTTAATTTACTTTTATTAAATCTTGATTAAATAATTCAATCGTTAATTTTTCTCCCCTAACACTATTCTGTGCTGACTCATGCACTTTACTCGACATGCAGTGGCTTGTTTGAAATCCGGCGACAGGGAATTAAGGGAGGTGACTTAAGTGGCACATTTTCCCTTTTTTCGTATTCTCCTTCACGCGATTAAGCTACAACTCGGTACTGAAGCAAGGAGTGAATTAGGAGGATGAGCGGCGGGTCTGGTTCATAGCATTGTGTTATGTGAAAAAATTAAGTATGATTCCCTCTTTTAAACTATTCAAACATTTCTTTCCTTTATTCTGTTTCCTTTTTGTCACTTGCCATAAATTTGTGCATTTATTTGTTTCCGTTAGCTGTAGCAGAGGTTGAATTTGGTTTGCAATTTTTTGTAAGGGCTATAAGCACGAAATCAACAAGAGGATGGGAAAAATAAGGCGTTATGAAGCAAATGGGAAAATAATAGGCTGTATCAGAAGCCAAATTTATGTCGAAAAGCCCATTTGAGGTATGTTTTGACAAATGAGCTAAGTTTTGGTTTAAATCATGATGAGCCGAAATTTCATGAATTCATATGATCCTTATGATTTTTAGGTTATTTACGCAAGGCGTCGAGCTCAAGACGAGCGTATGGGAACTTGTCGTAGGACTCCTTCATCTTATCCGATAAAACAATCTCATGCTAACCTAAGAAAAATAATTTTCTATATGTTTTCACGTGATTTCACGTTTAACACATATGCATTTAGAATTTCATGCATATTGTGAATGAATAAATGCATTAAATTTATGAATACAAGTTGACTTCTTTTATGATATATATTATGCTATGCTATACAACAAAATGAATATGTTTATGTAATCATTTCCTGCGGTATTAAATTGCTATGATTTATGCCTATGATATATGAAATGCATGTGATAAATGTTTGATATATGAATGATGATTTAAATGTCACAGGTGATGTTATGAGTAGACTAATGCATGAGTGCTTGCAAGTACACTATGCAGAGATGTGATATTCTCGACTCCTAGTATTAAGGCGTGCTAAAATTCTAGGAACTGTTGTGATAGGACGATGAAATAATGTAGGAAACCGTTTGTATCAGGGGGCCTATTGGTAACGACTATGTTGGAGGGTGACTTATCAATACTTGATATGATCTTTGGGGTAGGACGACGACCTATAATATGGCAGGACATGAAAATAGTTGAGGCCTATACATTGCACAAGTGACATTGCTATATTGTTATTTATATGACTATGATGATATACTATAATGTCATTTCTATGATAACATTGTTATGATTATGAACAAGTTTATGAATACATGATTATGACTAAACATGAATGAAAGGATATAGTTGTTTTATACAACAGTCTCGATTTTCTGCACTACCTGCTTTTCTTTTACATCTTCCCTACTATTCTAGTATGTTGTGACTTATGCATGAACATATACTATTATATATGAGCATGTATATCGCTTTTTTTGAATAAAATCTTATTTTAGCTATAATTATTTCTTTGAACTTGTTGTTTTTCAGTCTAGATTGTTTACTTTCAGGAAGAGATAAAAAACACTGTAGCGAGTAGCTATGTGTGACTTGTACACCTTTTACATTTATAGTTTTGGGACCTTGTACAGTCTTTTAGGTACATTTTTTATTTATGTTGGATTTAACAGCTCTGTATAGTTTACATGTTTTGATATTATGATTTCCACACTTTCGAGTATATGTGAATATGAATGAAATGAAATGCATCATGTTTGTGGTGATTTATGTAGGCCATTTCATCACCCACTAGGTTCTGATTTGTAAGTCAGGATGAATATCGGTGAGAATTTAGTCTAGTCAAATTATCTGCCTCTGTCACACCTCAGCCAACCCATAAGGGGGGTAAGTTGGGGTGTGCATAAAAGACCTAGGGCTCTAATGTTATGTGTAGAATGCATAAATATTTCAAATTATTTTAAAATATTTGATGCGGGCCAATATATTAATGGGTCTAACTATAAAATAGGAAACAGGCCAAAGATTAAAAGAGGGAAAATATTTATAACTATATAAATATAAATAATAACCTTCATACTTGAATATATACAATTAGATTTCCTTTTCCAACAACTAATCTTGATGTCCTTAGCATTATGTTATGTCGGCCCCTCTTGGACCGTCTTGGACCAGCCCGACTGATCCTAGGGCGGCAAAAACCCTAGTTGCTGCATGAGAGAATTCTGGCCCCTTAGTGGGGCTTCTTAAGCCCCTAATCATATATGCAAGGAGAGGAATTATGGGGAGTTTGGGTGGAAAGTTTGAATATGTTTTTGGTGTTGTTTTATTTGTGCTAATCATCAAGTGTTTGCTTTCAT